CCGCCCGCGCTCTTGAAGCCTTTTTTTCTGCATGAAATTGTCTCATTTTGCGGTCGCCGTCACCGCGCCGCGCCGCGCGTCGCCGACGTTCACTAGGTCAAGTCGTGTGCGTTTCCAGCGTGGAACTACGCACAGTGGTTCGTGCCGATGGATCTACACTGGAAAAAATTGTTGTGTTCCTGGAGAGCGTTCTTATATGAACCGTGCTCAGCAGAAAGGAACCAAGTTATACCAGCTATTGCCAAATTTAACTGGGCAATTTAGTTTTATACAAGAGAATGTTTGTGCGGATTTTCTTTTCTTTTTCATTCAAAGCATTGCTTAAAGTAAAGAATAAAACATTTCTTAAGCATTTTTTCTTACGTAAAGCATTTGCTTCGCACTATGATGCAGAAAATTAATTAAAATGTGCGCAATTATCCACACAGCCGTTTTCATGTAAATAATTAAACTTCTCAATTAAATTTTTCAACATCTGATGTGGTTAAGCTCCTTTCTGCCAATAACGCGGTTCAAACTGCATAACGCTCTAGGAAGGAAGGGGGTCTGGGGTTGAGGAGAGCGTTACGCCGTTTCGTTTTTACGTATTGAAGGATGGGCACCAACCTCACAAAATCGTTGCAAGGGGGGGGGGGGTCAACATGGCAAAAAAGTGCGTTACGTGTTTTTTGAACACTCCCTTAGGATACTTTTACTTTTGGTCGATATGGACATTGAAACACGAACTAACTATATGTGCAGACTGATTTTAGTGCAGTTTGCGTTGATATTGACACGGAAATGATGGGAAAATCGAGAAAATCTGGAATTAATCAGAGATTACGTTATACTCTGTGTTCCACCACCACATGGACAGGATCATTGGACTATATTTTTTCAGCTTATACGATGGTTACGTTTCGGTTCGTCTTCGCATTCCAACCGTAAGCAGTGGCGTGCCGTACATTGCGATATATCGATCGCTATACCATTTAAACCTATGGAAAAGGATCGATAAACACGGTGTTCGCAGCGAACACCTTAATAATCGATTCTTTACTATAGGTTTAAATGGCAGATCAATCGATAAATCGCAATTCACGCCACGCCACTGACCGCAAGTGATTAACGGTAAAACCACAAACGAGATGTATGTGGTTTAGGAGTTTTACCATCGAATAATAGAGAGCTTGATACGGTTAAATCGAAGTTTTACGGTTCCACGACCTTCATTTTTCGTGACCAACAGGACGTAAAAACTATATGATTTTAAATCTGTGCGCTCTTTTTGGAACGAAAAATAACGTTTGAGCGACGAAAAAACTTTTCCACGTGATTTTGATCGGCACGGGTGTGAGGAGGGAGCGATGAATGGTTTTAACCCCCGCTACCTGTTGTAAAAAATGTTCCGCCAAATAAGTGGCGCTACTCCCACTGTACGTCACCGCTGCGTCGGAAATGATTTATCATTTCATCTTAACTCCCTTAAAACGTATTCACGGGTATTCAACATCATGTCCGCTTCGTGTGTGACACGAAGGTCTTTTCGAGTGACACAGAGTGCTTTTATTTATTTTATTTATTCGTTCATTCATTCAGCTTTTTCCTTTATTTTTTATTATTTCATTCCGTGACATTTACCCGGTGCAAGTTTCCATTAATCTCCCGATTCAAAACAAACACCCGAAATGAATCAGGGCGCGAATCCATTATGCAGATCGATTGAAATCGTCCTGCGACTTGAAGATTAATATCTGTTTCCCACTTTTCAACCTGGTTTATTTTTCACTTGCCTTTTCACCCACACTGACGGGGAATTCATTCTTTGCATGTTTTATGGAGTCTCTAATTGATGATCTCTTGAACTCGTCCGCTGCAATAGTTGGGGAAAAGGACCGCGAAAATTATTCATTTGAAAATAGGTGAAAGTAACTGGAAGCCTTTCTAAACGATATTTGGCATCAATTCATCAAACGGATTACATATAGAGTGCATTTATAGGGATAGCATGGTCAATGCAGTTACCATATCTCTGTTTGGCCCAGTCATCTTAGCCTAAATGGAGACCTCCTGTCATACGCACTTTATATTTTAAATGGAAAACTGCAATGGGAAAATGTAAATTCTTGAAAACTTGCAAGATTTTTCTTCTGTGTGCAAAAAAAACTCGGTAAAAACTATGAGAAATGAAATTGATTTGTTCTTCTTCAAAGAAATAAAATGGAAACGGAGATTTGTGAACACCGCAAATGAGACAGGTGGTATGGTAGTCTCACCGTCGATATTTTATTTTGCATTGTTTTTACTTATTTGCAGCGAAATCATTGTAAGCCCCTCTACAAATCTGTTTCCAAAGTGAAACTGTCGTATTTAATCAATTACTACAAAAAATTGTCCTTTATATGCGCCCTTGAACCACTACCCTCAATTATAAAATCATATGAAGCCCGCCTCTAAGAGAATGCACTGTTGAAGGAATGATTAAGAATACGGCTCCAACTGCATCGCTGTTGACCCTCATCGCTCAAATACAATTAATACGGGCAAATGTTTCACAAAAGGTGAAAATTCAGCATTAATCAAAGTTTCTAACTGCCCGCTGAGAAATGAACAGTAACCATTCCGCAAACCACGACCGCATAACCAGCGGCTTCGATATTAGGAGTACAGATTCCAACCGCGAGTGACAAAAACACACCCCACCGACGGAATAACTTATCGCTTTGCTTCTCGGATTCTGACAATTAGCGCGATGATTACGCCAATTTTGCCCCCTTTCAAGTGCGTATGCTGCACGTGCAGTGTTAAGCGGAAAAATGATTCGTTAATAATAACGTCAGCTTCCAGAATGGTGTAATCTTAGGCGACTGAAGGCTAATAACACAAGGTGGTAAACCTTCTTACGCTCAATGGTGTTCAATAAAATGATGAACAACGTATTTGACCGATAATAGACGAATAGTAAGTTCTTGTTTTGACACAAGTTTGAACTTGCTTTTATCCCGTTTGTTTCATTTTCTTTTTTGGCCCGTTGAAGATGAAGTCATAATACCACAAAACGTCCCGGTTTTAAATTTTTGCTCGTTTATTTATTTAATCAAAGTTTATTATCTTTACATTTTAAGTTTAAACGGACACGATCTGATTAAAAAACTGTTTGTCATTTAGTATGTCTCGGCGCTTTATACTCTCCGAGCCTGTTTATTTCAAGGGTTATAATATTTTGTATCCGTTTTTGTTCGTTGGGAGGTTCCCATCCCTTCCTCTTTGCCCTTTTTTTAAGGAAATCACACAAATAGACTTGAATGAAACTTTAAAAAAAAAATTCGTCACATTTCAGAAAAATAATGAAAGATTTTAAAATGTTCATTTTAAAAATTCAGCTGTATAAAATAGGTAGTGAAAAAAGTTTCAACGTCGCAAATCGAGGAGTGAATGTTTTCACCTCACCGTCGATGATGATAAAATGTGTAACTGCTCTCACGCTTGAGTTCAGTCTCAGCGGGAATCGTGAAGCCGAGGCTATACTGTGGAAGGCGCTCTGAGCAACTATTTCAGCACAAGAGTGTTGCACAGTATCAGGCGAAAATGAAGGCGCACTGACGCTCGTGCATTGATTGGTATCGTTTACCAGTTTGTAAAGTCCCGTTGATCTTACAATATTCGGCACCTGTTTGATCAATTTTTGTGAAACTTGGTGCCAGGTGGCATTTTTTGACAAGAATCTTGAATTCAACTCAATTTTTTACAATTCAAAAATCTAAGATGGTGGATGTGGCGTAATTTGCTATCTCGTCTCCTGTTCCATCGGTTTTTGTAAAACTTGGTGGCAGGTGGTATTTTTCGACGTAAAAGTCGAATTTTCGGTTTTATTTTCAAGAATCATAGATCCAAGGTGGCAGATCAGCACCATTCCGTTGAATTTTCAGAAAATGTTATCCAACAAAGAGGAAAATTAACGGTAGTTTTTATGGGCTCGCGTTCAGTCAGTATAGTCTCTTACTGAAATTCGGAAGGATGATACGAGGTTTGCAACGCCGCTAACAGAGATACGCAGTTCGGAAATTTTACCTTATAATATTTTCTAACTCCTCCATCCGGACTAGAATTTAACATAACTCAAAAATCACATGGACGATTAGGATTCCTGAATAATATTTATTTAATTAATGTGGAGTAATTGGCTATGGCTAGCCGTGGAGAACGGGCTTCTTAAGCACATAAGAGGACATCTCTCGATTTTTAATGATCATCTGAAAAGCTTATTTCCTTCAATCCACATCGTTCTAGCTGTAGGAAAAAAGAATCCTCATGGTCATCAGTGGCGTGGCGTGAATTGCGATGTATCGATTGTTATACCATTTAAACCTATGGTAAAGAATCGATTATTAAGGAAGGCGTTCCCTGCGAACATCCTGTTTATCGATCCTTTTTCGATGATGGCCATTTAAAGCTTAAGATCATAACGACTGAGCATCCATCAGTCCGAAGTCCTTATCTTTTCACGTCTTTAAAATCGATTGCTGGTTTTTATAAAAAAGGAGCATTTAAGACATTTTAGCTAGGCACTAGTGTCCTAGTCGTCAATCTGAAGCAGTTAACATATTGATCGATATTTTTTTTTTAATAATTATAAGTTTAAAAATATCTTCCAAGATTAGAACTTGTGCGTATATCATCGTTATACCATAATCTTCTGTAGGTTTGTATGTGCGCGCAGAACCTACTAACTGTCTTCATTCAATAAGTAACATGAACTTGGATGCAAAATCCGGATAGATTATCATTCAAATTCCTGGATAACAATATTTGATTCAGCTGTGCACCAGAATTATTTTCTCTGATTAAATTAATGGTCCGTATTTTGCCACATGTTTAATTCTTTATTTGTTTCTCTGTTTCAGCTGTTCTTTCGCCTACCGGTAAACAGGATATCAAGTTCAAATTTAGAGGTAGGTTCTTCATAATTACATTAGGTTTCTTCATTGACCTAACCAAAAAACAACTTACCCAACGTAACCGCAAACACGGAAAATTTCTAAATGTGTACATGTGAGACCTTTACTCCGTAGACACCCGAAAGATTGCATCGTCATTGGTGCGGTAATTGAAATTCACGTAAATTAACCGGTGAATCAAATCGGCGCGACGCACAGTGGTCGAGCGAGGCAGGTGTGCTCGCGCGAGCGAACTCCGCCAGGCTCGCGACGCAGCAACCCCGCAGACTTGTTCCTGGCGCAACCCCTGTACTCGGAAGTAATTAGCCCCGCTCTCGGTCATAACTCATGTTTATTTCAGCTCGAGGAATATTCCGAAGAACAGCCGATAAATTAGTATCTACTTATTTCACTCCGGCCGTATTTTATGACGCACAAAAATCCGGCGCCGCGCCGCGTTTTCACCGAGACGCAACCTGTACGCCACGCCGCGCTGCCGTCAAAGTTCCTTACCTGTGCTCTACCATATCGCATATTTTACGCGCTTTACCTGCTCGGCCATCCATCCTTTCAAAGTATTTTTGTGAAATCCCTCTCTTTTTCAAACGAATTAATCTCCAAATTTAATGTATTCTTTCCTTGTCCTAACTCTTAATTTTGTACTACCTTTTGTGACCCATACTTTAAATTTTTAAATTCTGTACTATATTTTGATCTCTCCTCTAAGGTGTTCATGGCTCAATTGTTGAAAGCACCAAATAAACGTATCTACCAACCAACCATGTTTCCAAAGAGAAAAATAAAATCCCGATTTTTGAAATCGAGTCTCAAAAATTCGACTTATCTTATGTGAATGAACTGATAAATTCGGTTGAGACAGAGTTATCCGTCGCTCATTGGTAAAAAACGAGCACTGTGAAGAAGAAAAAAAAAAACACATTGGATCTAGAGTCCAGACTTTTGAAAACTTTGACAAGAAAAAATACTCTTGATTCAATCGGATTTTTACTTGAATCAAAACGATATCCGCTTAAATTGAGAGGCTTGGTTCTTGATTTAAGCTAGATTCTGATTGAATCAAGAGTACTTTTTCTTGTCGATGTTTTTAAGAGTCTGGACTCTAAACCCAATGTTTTTTTTTCCCCGGTGAGAATTATGAGATATCACGAAATGGGCAAAAATTGACGTCGTTACAGATTAAACAAAAAAATTCCACAATTTTCATCGAGAGAGTTTTACTCATGGCTGTTTATTTTACGTTTTAGTGGCAGTTTCTATTCTTAAAATTGATTTTTGTGTGTTCGGAATGTATAACCAGGCATGTTGCAGAGCAGTAAATATTTCCGTTCTGCCTGGCATGAAATAAACTACCAGCCCACGTATCTCGGTTTGCGTCGTTATAGTGATCCTGTCATACTTTTTTTTAAATGGAAAACTGTTTTTGGTCAATTGTTGAAAACTTCTGTGTTATTTCTTCTCTGTGCGAAAAAAGTGAAAATTGCAAGAAATGGCATTGACTTGTTCTCCTTAAAAAAATAAAAACGGGAGTGGAGATTTTTAAACACCACAAACAAGATACGTGGTCTGGTAGTTTCACCGACCATAAGACATTTCCTTCTCTCTTAGACATGTAAGGGCAGGTATGATTATGGCTACGGTGGATTTGATAACCTTCACCTAGAAGTCTACCTGTATCCATTAACCTCATGTTTTCTCGCGCTCTAAAATGATGAAATCCATTGCTTTTTCGCAAATTTATCCACAGATTCTACTTTTGGTAGATATCAATAAAAAGGGATATAAAATCATATATTACAGGTGAAAATCCATACTTTGTACATTTTTTCTCTTTTTTATATCCCTGCAATTCCTCCCTTTCTTTCTCCCCCTCTGCCTTTCACCTCTTAGAGAAGATCCTCTGTTTTACATTTCATACATGAATATTTGCACAAAGGGTCAAAATAAGATATCTTTCAGGTCGATCGAATCATTTGTATTGCAGGTCTATTCTGCTCTGTCGTGCTGAGTAAAAACGCCGCATGAGCATTCGTCGCTTGCCAAATTTCCTTTGATTAAATACGAATATACAGGAATACTCGTGAATATTTTCCGTTCAATTTTGTACAGGATTTTCTTCGTAATTAGATCTAAATTATTTGAAAATATCAAAAGAAAATATTCATAACTTTCCTCAAAAATAAAAATTTTATGGAGAAAATTTGGCAACTTTCGAATGTCCATACGGCGTTTTTCCTTAGCACAGCACTGACGTCGTGCCAAGGAAAAACGCCGTATGAGCCTCCAGGCGTTGCCTAATTTTCTCTGGCAAATCAATTATTTTCAGGAAATTTTCGGAATATTTTCCCGCCAATTTCTCAGATAACTTTGTTTGTAATTTGATCTAAAGTGTCTGAAAATTTCAAGGAAAAATATTCTTAATTTTCCTCAAAATCAAACATTTTATCCAACGAAATTTGGCAACTCTCGAATGTTCATACGGCGTTTTTCCTTAGCACAGCAGTATTCAGTCTGGTATTATTCTATACAGTAGCCTCGTTTTATTTGGCGATTGGAAGTTTAACAAGGATAGGCTATAGCTACTCTGCCAAAATAGCCTTTACGAGCAAATCGAGACCGGAAATTCAATGAATCGAATCGGTTTTATATTATCAAGTGAATCTGTTTTTATGGGTGGAAACAAAATTTACAGCCCCTGGTTTCAGGTGGACTTTATTGTGCCCTCCCTCATTGTCTGTTGACATCACACGGGGAGTTTAATAACTTTGTGCTTTAAGGGCTCGGGTATTTTACCGCCTTTTCAAAAAGCACCAGGGGCATGGTTTCGTACTCGTTCCAACCCCCTATAGGGTTATGAAATTCCCGCCATGGAATGAGGCCTTAGCATAAAGTATTTTCTCAAGCAGGGCCGCTTTCGAGGCGTGTTCAAATTAAGGTGTATCCTTACATGAGCATTGTTTCTTATGATCGCATCGATCCTTTCAAATTATGGCAACCCGAGGACCTTACATAAAAAACATGAGTTTTTTTCAGACCCCTCCCCGTAGCTATTGTTTTATGTGTGCGTGTGCCAATAATTATTAGACTTGAATAAACTAGAGTCCCTTTATACTGAGAGTAAAGACAATGCGAATCCATCTCTGATTGGTTTCTTTGTTTTAGGCCTCCTATTTTAACAACGGGAATAAAAATTACATTTTTACCAATTGCAAAGATTTAAACTGGAATGGATCGGGGAATTAAGGGCACGGCAAGGTAGGAACGGAATGAAAGAGGGGACGGAGACAGGAATTAGGGAATGAGTTAATCAAAGATTTTGAAAAACTTTCAATTTGTGTATTCCTTATTCCCATGATTTGTGACATCAATGAGCCTCGTTGTCTTGGCTCTCTCTATAAAGGGACTCTAAAAAACCAACTATCCTTGTAATTTTGTGTCTTCTATTTTACCGTTATGTCAAATTAACATTGGATAGAGTTTAGCGAAAGTGAATTAAGTGGACTTGGAACGCAGAGGGAATGTTTTAAGTTTCATTCCTTCGTAAGGCTCAATATGAAGGACAACTTTTCAGTTAAATATTTTTTAAGATAGGATATGAACGGATAAGAATTCTCGTTGAATCAAAAGGAAATTTCTTTGTTTCAAACAGTATTCCTGTTATTTCAAAGATACGTGTCCTGGCACTTTAAATAAATGTCCGGTTAGATCAAAGAGGATTCTCTTTCGAGAAATAAATTAACTACCAGAAACCCTAAAAAATATTTTGCGAGTAAAAAATCCGGTCGCGGAAATTGACGTGTTACATCTCAATTAAAAACACTCCCTTTCACCTCTCTAAGAAGATCGATAAAGCTGACAATGAGATAGGCAAAAACCTATCTTGAATTCTCAGGGTCCATCACGATCAAATGGAACGCGTTAAGCAGAAGGAAACCAAACCTCATCAACTGTAGCCAAATTTAATTGGGCAAATTAATTTTTTACAGGAAGACAGTTGTGCGGATTTGAGTGAATTTTCTGTATAGTAAGAATTAAAGTCCTTAAAATTTTCAAAGGAATCCGAGCGAACATCCTCTTGTGAAAAAATAAAATTTTCAGATAAATTTGACAATAGCTGATGTGGCTTGGTTCCTTTCTGCTTAACGCGGTCCAGAGATGTTCAAAAATTCACTGTAGAGTAAAAAAAAAATTAGAAAATGTTTCTCAGCGTAACATGGCACTGGTAACGTACGTGCCTAGCATTATAGGAGACATTGACGATCACGGTAAAGCTCGTGATTATGTTTCAGCGAAAATACTCGCTGACATTATATCCTACCTCAGATTCCCCCCGGCTCACATCTAATCATGAGGTACTTCCCGAGGTAAAGATTAATAGTCACTTCATAATGTGTCAAGGAACTTATTTACAGTCTTGGGGTCAAAATAAATTATGTTCGTCTATTGACAGCTGAGCCGTGCTAACCGAAGTTTAAGACCTCGAGAGGGTTAAGGAGCGCCATCTTTATGCCCCTCGCCTATGATCAATCATTGTTGCTGCTTTCTTTTCGTCCTTCGCCGCGATAGTTTACCACGCCGCGGCTACTCAGAAAATTCAATACACAGTGTGACAAGTTGAAGGCTACTCGCTTGTATGGGCCCCGAATTTGCTTTTTCCTCTCAAAAGCGTAGAGAGTAAGGCTTTCCAGATGTATTATCTCCAACGCATGGGACTTCAATTATTTCTTTGAGGTTCAAATTGGACGAAATCAAGTTATTATAACCGTTTTTGGGTACATTTTTGTCGCATTTGTTTCTGTTACATAGGCGGTTCTAAAGGCTCTCTGAAAAAGCAAAGGAAAATCAGGAAGGACTGAGTCTACCAATGTTGATGATCGATTGTCTATCGCCAAAGTAAATGTAACAAAAGTCTTCAGGGTGTCCTAGATTGATATCGTTGTTTCTTGAAGTTAGTCATCAAATTCCCTTCTTAGAATAAATTACCTATTTGTAACTGCAGATTGTTTGTTTGCGTTGCACTATTGTCTGTAAAGAGTCATCGTTTCTGGAAGGATCTGTGTTATTATACTTATGTCTCCCTATTTTTTGTTATGTTTTCGTATACTATTTCTCGTTGTTTTTATTTCCTTTGTACATTTGAATTTTATATTAAATATAGTTTTATATATTTTTGTTGCAGAAAAAAATCGGCATAAATTAAGTAGAAATAAAACGAAGAATGACATTGATGATGCGGAGGATGGTGGAGGATCTAAAGGTAGAAATAATATCTGTGTATTCACGTATTTGTGTAGATTATCCTATAAGTACATAACATGAAACAATCAGTAGGCGTTCAAATGGAAATTTCAAAAACATTATGATAAGCTTAGTCCAAGAAAAACAATTCTTTGATTGACTTTGGACAAATACATACAATGTAAAGGTACCTATTTGAGGAATGGAGGGGAGACTACAGAACATCATCTCTCAAAAAATGGCTCCCTAGCCCCTTCAAAATCGAGCAACGCAATTTCGTATACACCACTATGATAATTTTTAATCAGATCCTGTGCCTCTTATTTCCAGCTATTTCTCTTCCAATCTCTTCTCATTATCTCAGGTTAAAGTGTCGTTATTTTTTAAAAGTAAAACGATTAGTACTTTCTGTCATCTTGTAGTTTTAGGAACGAAAACTGAAATGATGGTGATATTTGCAAATTACAAAACCTTTTAAAAACTTATTTCATTACAGCGTGGAATTTGAATTGAGTTTATCGAACTTAGCAAGTTCCAAGTATTGCCACCGATAAAGTTTTGATTCTAACAATTTTATGTTTATTTTCGAAAATCAGATTGCCTCTCGTCCAATTACTCAAAGCATATTCGTACAAAAAATCCAACAATGAGGGTTTTAAAGTGTTCCCACAAGTGCTATACAATCATCGACCGAATTTATATGCTGAAAGCAAAACATTTAACTTCAATTTAAGATTTTAATCTTGAATTTCTTTCAAGATTTTTAAACATAATGATTCCAACATAGTCATGGGGGCGTTTTTGTCGTGAGTTTTGTTTCTTAAAAATTGATCCATAGAATAACGATTTTTTTGATTTTTATAAAATAATTAAACCTATTGCTGACTCTCAAATTGAATCCATTACTCCCAAAATTCACTGTGCCAAAGCTAAAAACCCACTATACACTCGTCTGTATCAGCGGTGCCCTGGTAAACATTGGCGATAAGAGCTGCGTTTCAAAATACCATAGGATTTCTTATAGCCGGCTAAAGAAGGCTACAGAAAATCATATAGCTGACTGTAGAATGCGGAGAAAATCATACGGCCGGGCTATACGAAGCGATAAAAAATTATGCAGCCGGGCTATAGTTCCTATCGCCGGGCTTTACACTTTATCGCCATCGATTATAAAAGGCTATAAAAAATTGTGTAGAAATTCGTTTATTTTGGAAATAATTAAGTTTGATACGGAACCACCTTAATATTTACAAAACACACATTATATTTCCCTTTAACACATATTTTTTTTCATCAATTAAAATGAGAATAATCCATACAGGTTGTGCAAACATTTCAAAATCATGAGTTGAATAAAGCTGACTACGCCAGATTAAATATTAGAGCCTAACACAAAGCGGAGCGGCGATGCACTGGCGCCTACAAACCTAACAGGGATACTTCACGCATTGCGCAACGCGTGAAGTATCCCTATTAGGTTTCTAGGCGCCAATGCGCGTTCGCGCTGGCTGCCCGCCTGCCACGGCGCTTGAAGCAACTATTTCACACCAGAGGTATTGCACAGTTTCATACGAAACTGAAGGCGCTCTAATATATTACATTAGTAATGGCATCCATCGTACGGTATCCATAGTAAGGCATCCATCAAAAGTACGGAGCTTTCCTCACAAAATTAATCAAGATACTACGGCCCAAAAAGAGAGCAGTATTCCAAAAACTCACTAAGTCCTAGCCTCCGTAATTAGTAACGTTTAGCATACACTTTATCGCCTGGCTGTTGATTAATCGTCATCGGCTACAAGAGGCTATAAGCAATTGTGTAGCCGGCTATAGGAGCTATTGGAAATCTTACAGCCGGTTGTAGGTCTATGGTATTTTGGAACACAGATTCTACTGCCAATTTTTACCAGGGCGATCACGAAGATACAGCACATACGGCTCAGAGGCAGATCCAGCAATTTGGCAACACCGGATTTCCCCCACTGAAACCTATGATAAATAATCGATTCTTGTGAGAGCACCTGGTCCCTACACTGACGCCGTAAATCCATCAAGATTTTCCTGCGTTTTTTGAACTTAGCACTCTATATAAAATTAAAACTGTTTTACCCATGCACCTCAAATGTTCACGTTAAATTCTTGATAGTATTTGCAAACAAATTCTGTAAAAAACATTGTCCCTAGGTACACAAATTTTTCTGCTTTGATACATTGTTTCCAAAAAAATTAAAATGGCGTTTACGGCGTTTTTGTGTTGTACGGCAGTACAAGAATCGATACATTTCCATAGGTTTAAAAGGGGGGGGGGGGATTTCGTCAATTTGATGGATCCGCTAATGTCACGGCTTCTATCATATCGTAGACAACTGCGGCCCCTATTCTGAACACAGCTCGATTTGTGTGCACTTGTGTCGTATTTCCTTGATCAAGCTGATTTATGACGCGCGGCAGTACACGAATATCCACTCGTGCTTTTCCCCTCCCCCCCAATTTCGGGGGAGGATATTTCAATGCACCTGTAGACACCACTCGGCGGTTGGCGATCCCAAAGTTTGCCTCGACAACAGCTTCTGGAAACTTTGACAAAAGCCCGAAAGTAAATCAATTGTTCCTAACCCTCATCCTTGAAAATAACACAACCGCACCCGCCCCTGAGCGAGGGGGAAACTTTTGCGGGTGAGAGGAAAAAAAGGAAAACTCTTGGCTAAAGCTCGCATTTCGATGGTGAGCCAATCCATAAATCTCGATTTGCGATGTTTCTAATCTTCTGCCACGATTCCTTTTTCTAAAAAAGGTCTCATCTTTGTGTCTGCGTGACATTTTTTTGACTCCTCTACGCGCTCTATCAATAATGTTCACCGAACATTTTACCAAAAAATTCGAGCAGTGTTCTCTTGAAATAATAAAATACGAACGGTTCTCGCCGTTTCAGGAGGCCCCCCGCAATTAATATTTTATTTTTACATTAAAAATCCTCCGAGTCATTTCTTGAGAATTTTTCTCATTTTTCTTGGGTTTTTCACGGGCTATTCTATTCTGGAAAACATTCAGTGAAAATTTCAAACGATAGCGCTGGTCAACTGTATTCCTGGGATAAAATCACTGGGGAAAAAAACACATTGGATCTAGAGTCCAGACTCTTGAAAACATTGACAAGAAAAAGGACTCTTGATTCAAGCAGATTTAAGCTTAAATCAAAAGGAAATTAAGAGGCTTGGTTCTTGATTTAAGCTTAAATCTGATTGAATCAAGATTATTTTTTCTTGTCGATGTTTTTAAGAGTCTGGACTCTAGATCCAATGTGTTTTTTTTTTTTTTCCAGTGTGGGATTTTGAAAGATAGAAAACGAGATGGTCGCGCGTTCCGACAGCTTTACCGACGAAATGCCATAGCTTTGCCTTGATATGACATTTTTGGGTGGTTTTTCGAGTGGTCCCAGAAGTTCCGTAATACTCTCTTGTACGCTTTGGCATCAATGACTCAATTTAGAGTTTTTTTAGATTAAGGTCTCTTTTCCCATAGACTTTAATGGGTATGGAACTTTTCAAAGATGGCACAATGTTTTTATATTTGATGAATTTTTTGTTACAGATAAACAGTCCCAGTACAAAGAGTATGAAGAGTACGAGGATGAATTCATGGTTGGCTCTGGCGGGCCAGCGTGCTCAAAACTATTTTCTCTCTCATCTTATTGGTACCTTCTACTCCTGCCTGCTCTCATTCCGGCCAATTGATTTAATATAAATATTCTTTTCGGTGCGTCCGTCCACTCCAGTCGTGAACCAATTGGACTACTTTTTGTAATTCGGAATTAACATTTCTGGCTTAGTCGGTTGCACTTATGTGCATAGGAAAACTAATGGTTGTTTCTAAACTGATTTTGAGATAGAAATTTTAGTTCCTCCAAAAAAAATTTAGCCTTCAAAATGTAGTCCAATTGGACTAAATTTTGCAATTCGGAACTACAATTTCTGGCTCCTCTGAAAAAACACTTATGCTCATAGGGAAACTAATGGCACATACGTTGTTTTTAAACCGGACTAGAATTTATAGTTCCAAATTGCAAAATGTAGTCCAATTCATTCTCCATGCAGCTTATCGTAGTAACTGAAAGTACGGCTAGTATTTTACATCATCAGTTTTCATATCGAGAGATTTCTCACTCACCGCACCTTTTTCACATTGAAACGATACAATTCGAGGGCTGACAAAGTTCGAAACTTTTGTATCAAAATGAACTTTACGTCTCTAAAATCATATTTTTAATGAACGATGTCACTGTGACTGAAGAGTGTTGGTGTATTAACTTGACCCTACTCTTTACTACACATTTTTAGCATAAGAGACGCTGAAAGTTGTAATTTATGTAAATTTTTCCTTCCTCTTGCTCTTTCTTTTGAAACAACCAAAAATGGAAGTACAATGTTTTTTTTTTTTAATTTTTTATTTTATTTTTATTTGAACCAGATTATCCCATTACACATAGTTACCTTTAAAGCAAATTTTTTGTAGACATTGCCCCTCTTTTTTTCAATTAAGAATGTTTTTAATTTTTTTTATTTTATGTGGTCGACATAAATGGAACGTCTATATAATAAAATTGTGTATACTGCAAAGACTAATAAGGTTGTAACTTGTACATGTTTTCATGGAACACAAAACGAGATGGCTGTGTTTTGCTCGATAACTACCTCGTAAATTTCTTTCATTTCCTATTACAGGGGTTCCATTTCCATTTAATGTATACTTCTATTTTAGACCAAATAAACCTGAGACTTATGGACGACTCAAAAGTTGGGAATGAAATAAAATTGCGATGTAGGTATGTGAAATGTTTGTATTGCTCGGTGTAAAACGAATATGAAAATGTCTAAAAAAAATTGTGATCAAAAATGGTTTTAGGTAAGATACATGTTCTTCAAATTCGTATCTTCAAACTTATGAAAATGTTCTCTAAATATTGGGTACCTGAGTTTCATTACTGTGGTAGGACAGTGATATTGTGTCCATGGTGGAAGAGTGCAAACCTAACAAGGGTTGCCAACCACACATTCATATTGCAATGAGCCTAGGCGGTTCACTTTCAACTTCTTTTCAAATTATTTTTCTTAATTTTATCAATCTTTCTTTATAGATACTTTCATGGCAGAAGAATCAAAAATACCAATGCCACCAGGGTCGGATTAAGGGGGTGGCCACATGGACCGCGGCCCATGGCGGCAAATCTAGGGGGCGGCAAATTTTGAAATTTTTTTGTAGGTATAAAAAAAATCGGAGTTAGAAAAAGAAAAATTACAAACGTGAAAAGGTTACAAAATCTCTCATTTCCTGAGAGTAAAGTAATTTCTAATTTTGTCGTCTTTCTGTGATACAAGAGACAGCACCTTTAATTAGTCGAGTTAAGAGAGAAACCAAACACACAATTTGGCCTGGAACAGCGCGTCTTAGGGAGAAATGATGACGAGGACTTGAGATGAAAAGGAGAAGCCCTCGGCGCGACAATCGGCATGTAACACATATTAGCGCCTACAAGACTGCACGAATACTTTACGCATTGCATCAAACACAGTGCGGTTATTGTGGTCAGCGTGAAACGGATAGCGCCTACAAGAATGCATGAATACTTCACGCATTGCGCCAAACACTGTGCGGTCAGCGTGAAACGGATAGCGCCTACAAGACTGCGTGAATGCTTCACGCATAGCGCTAAACACGGTGCGGTCGGCGCGGCGCGGCGGCGGAAGTTAAAATCATTAAACCGAATTTTGTGTTTGTTCTTTCATAATTTTTTCGTTCATTTCTTATGCATGGAAGGCCTTGTCCATCAGAGATAGGTTTACGAAACTTGACTTTCGCGCAAAGTTCCGTGACCTTTTGCTAGTAGTGTTGACGGGGCTTTCCCAAAAAATGTGTTCAACACGAGTAAACGCATCTTATGCACCCCTCCCCCGTTGGCACGTTCACTTGATGGTTTTTATTGATGTTTCAAAACGAATGAGAAGGGGGCGGCAAAATACAGGCGGCCCATGGGCGGCAAGTAGGAAAATCCGGCCCTGAATGCCACTGGTGATCACTTAAAATAAGTTAGCCTACCTACTGCGTCAGCCATCTTCATTTTACACTAAAATTAAACAGATACATCAATCAAGATGACAGATGACATGTATTGAGCCGAGTAACCCTTGGCGCAAACTTTAAAATTGAGATTTAATTACACGTATTATACGTATAATGCTGTACTTGCAAGTGATTGCAATTTTAAACAATTGTTAAATTGATGCATTTACACCTCACAGACTAATTTTCGCTCGTCTGAAGTAAGAGCGTAACTCTATTGTCACTTGAGCCGCGGAAAGCATCGTGTTAAACGGAGAACACGGCTCACGTGGAAATCGAGGTACGCCCTTCAAGTCAACGAGGCGACGAAATTATCGGCTTGATATTATGTTGGTCTCAAGGAGATTCCCCCACCCCCTAGTCTTAAATATTTATAATGACAGCAATCCATCGTTTTCCTACGTCTTTTACCTTTTTTCCCAAAATCTGTTTTTTTACGACTGTAATTAGGAGGTTAAGAATCCTGATAAGTTCCAATTTTATTTTGTTAACTTAAAGTCCATTCCCTACATTCAGTTGTTTTTACCCAGAAAATTTGACAAAAATTGTTTGATTTTACTGAATTTCGGCAAAATTTCACATTGCGTTTTGATGTTTAATCAAATGCCATAAAAAACACGGACCAGTAGTCTGTTACAATGACGTATAATCCTGATTTTTATATTTTATTTCTGTTCACTGAAAAAAGAATGAAGCTGATTTTACATTCTGGATGTAAAAAAAGTGTGCGAGAACTTACAAAATGTTGAATTCCCTTCTACAGCAGTAATTTTAGCAATGTCAAGATGTAAATCTAACTGTCGCAGCGGGTAATTTAGCCTTTTGTGAGTTCTCGGACACTTTTTTTTACAAAAATTATTTCCTCAGGAAACATTGCAGAAATTTGATTTCCCATTTTCCCTATCAGATGGTTTTGAACGTTTAAGTGTACAGAACACTCCATCGGCCAAAAATCTGTTTCATGGTCTGACAGACCAAGCATTAAAATTTATTTCCGTGTACATATTTACCTACTTTACGTTAGGGTGTAAGTGTTTGTTTGTGATACGTAAATCAACACCCATTATAAACCAACTTTGTACAGAGCATTTAAATTATCGGATTCGATTCCTTGTAACATATGTGAAACAAATACATATTTTAATAGTACAAAACTTGTCTCTCCTTATTTCCACCCGAGTATTATGATGTTCTGTTAGGTCACACGCTCAGCATTACCACATTTTGCTAAAACTAGATCTTCATGCGTCAAGCAACTCGCATTCGTCGGTTCGCTTACGTTTCTGCTCTGCGTTTAAGTCTCTGAGGTGATTCCGGCGTTTTGCCGTTTTGGCGATAAAGGATTCCAGCATTTTGCAGTCTTGGCGGTAAATGATTCTGGCATTTTGCCGTCTTGGCGATAAGTGATTCCGGCAAATTGCCGTAACCAGACTGTCGGTACGATTATTTACAAGAAAAACCATCTTTTCATTCAAATACGAGACAGTTCTTAATGAATGTTCGGTTAGTGACTGAAAGATCCTACGAGTCAGTATTAAATGTATGATATACACAATGATTTTTGATACAAATATAGCCCGGAGTGGGCCGTGAAGTATCTTACAAAACTGTAGGCGTTTTCAACCGGCGACAACACCGCAATGCTAGGGGAAAACGCCTTGTGCCTGAAGAGACATTGCCATATCTCCTTGGACGAATAATACATTTTCGGGAGCATTTGGAAACCTTCTTCTTACCATTTTTCAGAATTTTTTTTTTCGTATTATTATCTAAAGTTTCTGAGAATTTTAAGGAAAAATATTCATAACTTCCTTCATAAACAAATATTTCATGAGAGAAAATCTAGCAACATTCGAATGCTCATACGGTGTTTTTCTTTAGCACGGCAGAACAGATTGTCGCGTTTTGCGTGAACGGAATAAACACGCATCTCCCCGCCCATGCTTTGATGACTTAAGTCAGGAAATGCCAGGAAATATTGTAACACATTTGCAAATCGTGCCGACAATTTCCATTAAGAAGTTCCGTATACTGACAACAATCAAAGTAGGTTTTTCTCTCTTTCCACACTAATGAACAATGAACATACATTATCCTCTTTTAATCGTAACAGATTGCCCAGGACTGCCTTATTTTGAAGATCTTGTTTTGTAAATCCGATTAGAAAGAATATTTTTTTATTTGGAGCCACATCCTTTTTTCACCCATCCCCCTCCTTCCATACAAAGATACTGGAAAAAACTAATTGTAGTGAGCATCAACTGCAACATAATCTTTCAAAATTCATCAGTTATTATTAATACATTTCATGCAACTTTCATTTTAAATGGCTAAAATCAGAATGAGTAAAATGAAAAAAGAGTCTTCAAACCAAGAAGATATTTAAAAAAAGAAAAAAAAAAATTAATCGATGATAGGATAGATGGAGATCTACGTTAACTTTGAATAATGCTGTATTTATTCAAAATAACAAAATATAAAAAATAAAATATTTCGACGAGTAACAATCAATTTTTTATGTTAATACAAAATAACAGATAGAAAAATATTTAACTCAAATAGATATTACAAGAACAAGGGATGTTGGATGTTGAACAAGTTTTTGGCATGCTCCTTGAAGGGCTCTGTTGGTTCAGGACACAACTTCAGTTACTGGTTTTGTGATAAAGTTTATCTCTATGAAACATGAATACCGAGTGTTCAGCCCAGCCAAAGACATTTTGAGCGATATGACTTAAAAATGCAAATATTATGCAGATACTTGTACAAAGAAAAATTGAGCAAATGCAAACAACTCAATAATCAATTGTTTCTTGTTAGAAAATTTCAAAATCAAAACAGAACGTGGTGCATAAGAATCCATATTAAGATTTAGATACTAAAAAAGCTTCATCATAAAAACAAAATAAAATATGTAACAAAAACAAATTACTTTTTTATTAAACAGAGCTTTTCAATTAACAATAAAACTTCTCACCTACTGCTGTTTTAGCGATTTTTTAGCCACCGAACATATTGCTTCTGCGTTTTGTTTGGAAGGAGCTTAACAAAATCACTATGCATCGATGGTAGAGGGACTACTTGAATGCATGTGTAGAAAAAAAATCTACCAAGTACGGAAAATCTGCTCAGATAGGTGAACTTCTGTTGCACACATACGTTCCTTTGAATTTAAAATTGCATTTTTTAAAAAACTTTGGAAAGTGACCAGAGTCTTTGCATAGTTAGAAAATTATTAAACAAAGCAGAAAATAAGAAGGAAGAAAAAATAAATAAATAAATGCAGAGCACAGTTTTAGAGAGAATTAACACATTTCAAGTCTTTCAAAATGAAATGAAATAAGAAAAGTTTAATCTTAAATCCTGAGAGCTCAAATGGAGAGAAAACAGAGTTTAAGCAATGCTTCGGAATGTAATCTGGTAAATGTAGAGAGATTGAGTGATTATATGTTTTGAAAAAAAAAGGAAGGAGTCCTCTTATTCAAAGGGGTAACGATTATTATACCTGCATTTTAAGATTTTGGTATACAGACTGATGAGTATACTTTCATACATAGTACAGCATACATACAATTAAAATAGAATTGTTTTTAAGGGAAATTCATTGTTTTCCTTCTCTTGACCCATTAATTTATCACAACCAGAATTGTGTTTATTTTGCTCTTGTCAACGCAAAATTGAATTAGATCCTAAGAAGCAGTAGTTGTAGATAAGTGCCTGACATATTATTGAAATTTCATATAATTCACTAAATTAAACCATTCAAAATAAAAAGAATCGTAATCTTCATTTAACTTTAAAACAAAAAAACAAAATTAGCTATCACAAAAAATAATAAAAATACATAAGTATTATTAGTTTTCAATTATTTTAAAATTACTTTACAGAAAAACACTACTCAGCTATTACAGAGTCATCAACAGTTAATATCAGAACCTATTTCCAAACAATACGGCTCATACAGAGGACTGGATCTATTGCTCTTGGAGTAAGGAAAGCTACACAAATTATTTTTGTCCTGGGCCTCGATAATTTTATATGCATACGTTTATCACTTGATTACAGAACCTGATAATCACTTAGCACGATTATGAGACTACAGGATCCTAAGAAAAAGTGTCTTGTATTAGACTAATATTCTAACACCATGCCAGGACGGAATGGTTTAGGACGCTTTTATTTGACCAGGCTACTGATTTCATTGCACCTCTGATTCATGGTTGATGCCATCTAACAAAATGTTTTCTAAGACAGGGAGGAATAAAAAAGCAGGCGGGATACCATTATGACAGAGGGAACACATAACAAAAGATTCTCTCTTGATTCAAACATGATTGATTGAACATTGACCTTTGAAGTATTTTTAGTTAGAGAATTTTCTTACTCATTAGACATTCATAATTGCTCACCTAAATTAACAGCTTTTCCTCGCTCAAAAACCTTGACATAAATAATTAGAATCATGTGCTCACTTTTTCCAAAGTCAGGCACCAGAGGACGGTTCTAAAAAGACTAAGTGAGTATTTCCCTGCGGATGTTTTTTAAGATGAGAAAATACATAATAGTATCCATTAACTGAGCAGTGGACACCATAAAAATGAGAGAGAAAAAAATAAAAAGGAAAAAAAATTATCCAAGGAGATCAAAACAAAAACCAACAAAATAGAAAATTGTCAGAGGTAATCGAATACCTCCATTGACGATGTAAAACAGGGTTCTTGCAGAATATGGTTCAATCACTGCTTTCAAGGAAATAACGGTTTGAGTATTTTCATGAGACATGAAGAAACCATAATTCGTAATGAGCATGACATGAAAATGCAAAAATATCTTTGCCTCTATTTTTTCCTAGGGTAACATTTTTACTAAACATGGGCTGTGCATTTAAAATATATGTTCAAATCTATTTTATCCAGAAAATTCAATTTGAATATTGTGCTGTCAAAACTTACCTGGTGACAGGCGACTCAAATTCAGCCTTTGGAAATGGTTTTGAAAGTTGATTTAAAACGATTAGTAATCAACATACACTGATGTAGCACCTTGAATGTAAAGGAACCACCTCAAACGTTATTTTTTAAACATTAATAACATACGTATGAAGCGATATTAACTCCTGTTTGCAATATTTTATGACCGCTATTAGGGGATAAAGAAATTTACAAGTACGAATAAATTTACAAACTTTTTACACAGAGGGGAGGAGGGATACTGCATAGTTCCACTATGCTGAGGAACTCAAAAGAAATTTACAAAAGAAAAAAACATTTCACTATTGAAAGGCACGATTATTACTAGAAAATAGACTGCCAGAGGTCATTTTAAAGGAGGTTGACACTGCGCACAATTTTCCATTTGCTCATGAAATTCTTCAATTTGCAGAGTTATTTCAAAAAAGTGGAACTTGTTGTGGATTTTTCTTGATGCACATTTTAGTATCTGCGCTGAGTCACATCCTGGACCTGCAATGAGAGAGAATGAGACTAGAAAATGAAAAAAGATATTGCTGTAGAGTAATTACTTTCAACTGAAATGTACTTTTTTTCACCCATATGATGATTCAGCTAGAAGTCGATTTTGACAGAAATGATCGTTCATACAAACTCTGGTTCTTCTTGTGAGCAGAAAATTCTAATTTTCCATAAAGAGCGAAAAAAAAATTGTGATTTAAAAATTAATTTTGATTCCTTGATTAAGAATTAATTTCAGTAATTTTCATCACGCAAATTGTGTTGCATGTGAAACTTTGAAGAGAAAGCATTAATCAGAATACCTAAATTCGTACCTTTTCAAGGGTCTATTAGTTCAATTTTCTCAGTATTCCATACAAACTTTTAAAATATATTTTGCATACATATGAGGACTTTTTTCAAATTTCAACGATCTAGTAAACCAAACCTTATATTTTGAATCTGCTTAGAGAAATCTTGAACATGAAAAATTAAATTCTAGAAATCTCTAAAATTATGAAAAATATTTTAAAATGTCTTCCAATCTTTCAGGGTCGGTCACAACCTCATGCATATGTTAGTAAGATCATGATTTTATACATTCATTATTTGAGAATCTAAAAGAATAAAGGGGCTGTTTACGTAGGTAGGTAATGCTCTGCAAAACATAGGTAAAAATCCTATCTTCAAAGGGTGAAATAAATCATCCAAGGATAAGTTACAAAGTCAAGTCTGAGTCAAGCCTAGCCAAAGGAGGAAAATTGGCTGTTGTGTCCATCAAATATTTTGAAAAAGTAAACACAATTATGAAACAGAACTGGGTAAAAATAATATTTTTCAAAGACGAGCCGTTTTGAGTAAATTAAACACTCGAAGCAATTATATCATCACAAGCTAATGCCAACGAGATTAATTTCTTCTGTTCATGTCTCTGTTACTCCAACTGTTTCCTCTCTCATACAAAATTCAGCTTTTGTACCATTTTTTAGCACATCTGACTTTCTTGCCTTCATATCAGTAAAGAAGGACTATTACCTCCTGATGATTCAATTGATAGTTCGATTACTCAAATTTAAAGCTGCATCTTCAGACAAATAAAAGCTCTGCTTGCAGGTATTCTGGGTCATTTCTCCCTCTCTTAGACCCCTAGTACCCACTAATGTTTTCCCCTTATATTTTCACCATTTTTAGGATACGAACATGTGTAGTGTCTTTCTTAATATATTAGCAAATTTTATTTATTGTGGAGTGGTGTAGAGTAGAGACAGTTAGTTCTCTATTTTTCCTGTTATGTTTTTAATTGTTCTTGCTTCAAGATTCAGTACGAAAGGATAATTCAAGTCATCTCAGGTAAATTAAGTGCGATATTATTTGAAGAAAGGTATAACTCAACAGATGCAGCGCTGACGCCATAATGGGGCAACACATAAGAAGCATTAGAATGGAAAACTTAGGTATATCATTTCTTGGCTAGAGTTTAGAAATGTTAGATGATACCCACAAAAACAGAACTAAAGAGGTTAATGGGTGTGAAAAACACACTAATACATGTTTCAGTGGAATTAGGAAGTATGAGACCATTTATGAGCTCTTAAAATTGAGACTAGATAGGATCCTACACTATTGTCATTACCTCAGTTGAATCAACGAATGCAAAAACGTCCGATGTCCAAGACAGTGTTTCAGAATTTGAGTGGACGATTTCGTTGTAACTTAACAACATAAGGTGGTTTAAGACGTGAGGAATGTAGAACAATTTTATAAATAATCCCTTAAGTGTAATTAAACGTTTACAAAAGAAATCAATCCTATTCATCAGTGTCGTGGGACTAAAGAAACCCACCGCAATTATGAAACTCTGTATTGGACAACGGACGTTTTTGCATGCGCCGATTTAATTGACAATGCAGTAATTCAACCTGATCGGATATACTTAACCGTAGGCAGGGAGGAGGAGAGGAGGTCATCTCATTTCAGGGTGCATAATGATGCGAACATTTTAGATTTTGTCTTTTTTAGGTATTTGAAAGTGTTTATAAGTTTAACCTCACAATGGCTTTGGAGAGCCACAGCAACTACATACTTAAAAGCAAATTCTGTGAAAAATGTTAAATAAAAAAAAATAAAGAGGAAGTATTGACAATATTGTGTTGTAGATATGTGGGGTCTACTATTTGATGCAGACATCAAACAGCGACTGAAATATTACAATCATGATGATTGGTATCCGAATATATTGAGCTTCCACAAAAAAAGAAGGAAACAGTCTCCAAAAATTTTGGTTGCAATAGTATCACAGCTCTCTAAGTAACAGCAATGATTTGATCTCAATTGCTAGAAGTTGAAATTTCGACCCTACATCAACTCTATGTCACTGCCTGCTGTGATCGTCTACCTCACATATCATTTGAACAGTGACTGTTATGTAAAAAAATTTCAAGTCAATTGGCAAATAGGTACTTACGGACAGCTAAATGAGCTGATAATGCAGTTTTATCCAAGCTCAAAGCCCAAATTCTTAGATTATGCACTTTCATAACTCCTTCAATGCTGAGGAATGTGTTCAGTACATCCGCAAAATTGACACCACTTGGTATACCTATAAGAAATGAAAAAAATGGAGGGTGAAATAAATGTAAACAAATATTTGCATAAATAGCCTTGAAACAAGCGAGAAGACTTCATAGAATGAATATTGATTTATTGTACCTATGAGGATGGTTTAAGGAAGACCTTTGTCTATTTTATAACTCCTACAACAGAAATTAATAAAATAAAAAATAAAGAAAATCAATGAAATAACCCGTTCAGCTCTTTTAGAAGCTGAAATTTTTGAGATTATGTAAAACTTGGACAATTTGGCTTTTATGAATGCTGATCTTGATAGAGATCGTCAACTTTGCGACTCAAACAATTTTCAATGCTTTGGTGGATGCTAAAAATGTAGGTCTTCAGATGAAAATACATTTTCAAAAGTTAGTAGATATAATGGAGGGAAGAATAATAGAATGAAGATAGGCACATGTAGTATTTGGGCGTCGCAGAGCGCCTGCGTGCGTTATAGGAGCGACTGTAAGTATGTATGTAGTAGATTTAATAACTTTTTACAAATTAAATTTTGTCTATTGGTTAGACATTTTCAGCCTGATTTTTGACGGTAAATAAGTGCCTGATATTTTCAAGTTCTCCATCAGGACCATTTTGAAAATAATGTATAAAATCTAAAAGGGAAACTTTAAAGGTATGCGTCAAAAGAAACTTTGGTTCAGGAAAAAAAGGACGCTAATATCTACACTTAACTTTTTTCAAATTCATTAACAAAATAGACTAAAACCTAGAGAAAGACTGTAAACACAAACCTTCCATCAATACGACCAAAGTATCACGGATGATGGCAAATGTGGTGATTAAAACGAGAACTGAGAATAAAAATGTACAGATGGGGTCCACCAAGCTCCACTCAGGCTGTAAAGAGAGAATTTGAGTCATAACTTCGAAAAATATGTGATACATATTTAATTTACAATTAAGAAGAAAAATCTTCATACCAGAGTAAAAAAGTTCATGCCTAAACTGTTCATTTTCAAACTTAACTGCAGCTTTTTTTTTAGCAGCAAGCAGCATTGTCAATCTCTCCAAAGCCAATTTAATGCACTGGTTGCCATTGAGTAAAAGATAGATACTTATGAACATCATCCTGTCACTTACGACCCACACCTATTATTCTGTAAAGTACCTAAAGTATTTGAACCGCACTTTTAGTATATTTTTTTCTTTCTTCCTTTCTTCACTTGTGTACATCTCAAGGAAGTGTCACAATATGCTTGTGCAGTAGTTTGAACAAGTATTTCTGAGATAAAAATGAGAAGAGTCAGTCTAGAGGAACGCCCGGCCTCATGTTCCAATGATGAAATAAGGTGGTTAATTTATAAATTCCAAACAAGAACCTTCATTGCGAGCTATCTTCAATCTTGTAAAAATGCTCCCATTGAAAAAATCAGCGTAAATCTTTGAAAGAAGTTTCTGAGGCAGAGAGGAGAGAGAAAAGCATACTGTGGTGGTAATACTAGTGATAGTTTTTGATGTTTTCTATGTAACACTGTGAGCTCACTTATCAGCAGCGATGGCACCAGTCAGGGAGGGAATTTTTGGGTCAGGCTTTTGGCACGTGTCATAATCCATCCACCTATATCAATGCTGATGAAAATCTCAACATAAATTTGTGGCTTCAGACTGCGTTCAACTGTCATTGACAATACATCAGTACCAACCTTAAAATAGATGACTAGAGCAGCTAGCAAAACTCCGAAACTTTGAATGAAGTCCCCTATAACATGAATAAATGCAGCCCGGACATTGATGTTATCCCTATGACTATGATGAGATTCTTCTTCACTATCTCCTGTTGAAGTGTGAGTTTTCCCTCCATGAGAATGCCCATGTTGATGCAATGAAAATGCCATACTGAAATGAAAAGAAAAAAAGAAAAATAATAAAAATTACAGACAGGCACAAAATATCGATAACATGTGCTAGGCGCCTAAATATTGGATGACCCATTAAAGTTTCTCCAAAGAAGTGATTTTTTTAAAACAATTTTAGCCATAGCTATCAGCAAAATTACATGAAATTTGGAGACAGGGAATAAATTAGAAATAAATAGACAAGGTACGAATTTAAGCATTCTGATACATGTTTCTTAACCAGAATTTCACGTAGAGCACGATTCGCGCAACAAAAACTAATGAAACAAACTCCAAACGAAAATATTAACATTTCTATTTCACATTGGTTACGAAGAATTTGAACTGCCCGCTGACAAGAAACTCAAGGCTCTACATGAGTCGAATCGCGCACTACAACGGTTTCAACAAGCTTCTCAATCGAGTAATGTTCATTTTCCACCGTGTGTTGTTCAAACTATAGGCAATTTGCTACAGCTGAGCCAAAGCGTCAAGATTGAGGTTGCCAGATTTTTATATTGCAGAGATTGTCATTATAACGTTTAGCGCAAGATGTGAATCACACAGAGCATTGAGTCTTCTTGGGCGGGTGCTTTGAATTCATGCATCAAGAATCATTAAATAACTTTGGAAGGAGTTGATTTCAGTACTTTTAGTTGTGCGCGTCGTATTCTGCGTGAAATTTTAGTTAAGAAACATTTATCTGAATGCTGAAAGTCGTGCCTTGTCTAGTGGTCCATTCAGGGTGAATAGGATTAGGGTATTTTCTCTACATACAAAAATTCATTCATCGAACTGAATTATCATTCAAACTTGATATTGATAGTAAAACGATGGAGAACTTATGATGAACAAGGAGATTATGGAGAAATTGTAGGATAATATTTCTTGAGATACGTACATGATGTTGACAAGCACACCAACAGCTGATGTAATTAACATGATTTTTGCATCAATTTCAAAATCTTTTTTGATTATTCTTTCTACAGCCATGTAAACAAGGATTCCTGTGACAATCCAGATCATAAGAACAGATGTTAAAGCACCAATGACTTCCGCTCGGTACCATCCAAACGGCATGCTTTGCGTAGGAGGCCTGTTGGCTACCCACAGTGCAAACAACGATATCATAAAACTGGCGAAATCAGTAAGCAAATGAGCCGCATCAGTGGCAATTGCTAAACTACTTGATAAATAGCCACCTATTAGAGCAACATACAGAAACAAGTAAGTATTAGAAGAACAACAAACACGATTGATAAAAAAAATGTTATTTATTAGCATTTTCTCTGCTGTACTTTTGATACAATAAAACAACTTGATTAATTAATTACCTATTTAATTTATTAACAATGTACATATTATGTACTTGAAATTGAATTTCTTGTGGATAAAATTAGGCAAACAAGGGCATAATTGGCCTGTTGACAGCAGAAATCAGTGACTGTTCACGCCTAATGCTGTAAATTGAAAAGCCAAAACGTAGAAGCTCCATAAGTTCTGATGGTAGCAATTTTTGTTCTCGAGTAGCCTACATTATGCAAAGATACAGATTAGCTGCATCTAAATTAATTCACAATAGAAATTAGTTTCTACCAAAAAGCCAACATTGATAGTCAATGAGGGCAACACTACTTGAGAATTGTGAAGATCATACTGATCAAAAAGAAACGGCCAGAGAGTTAAAAGTATGAAATCTTCCAGAACTTTTGTTCCCACGAGCAAGTCTATTTAGTTTAGGCCTAATAAGCCATAGAAAAAACTTGGGTTTCCAAAATATCTTTATTTTCCGATTCCCTTGCTTAAACTGACCTTTGAATGAAATTATCACTAAGACCTTTTTTTCTTTTAATTACGAGGGTCATCCAAACAGTAAGGTTCCCTGCCTTGTATCTTCCAAGCGAAAAGAGAAATCAAATCGGTAAAAAAGCACATATTAGGCATACTCTAAGCTTTAAAACAAGCTCAAGTTTTTGAAAATCAGTCAAAATATTCGCGAGTAACCTTAATTTTACCGAGACAACCTCCTGTCGCCGCGTGCCCACCTCCAGGGTCAGGATGCACGGAGAGTCGATTATTTCAGACTCGGGTTATCGCCTCTATACATCACATCAACAAGGAATTCTAAAGTTTTCATTGAGTAGGCCTTACCTTACTTTTTGACGTAGTCTCCACATCTTTTTTGACAATATTCTTTTGCAGTATTCTGGTATCATTTCAGCAACTTCTTGATGCCCTCTGCGTAGAAGCTTTTGCCTTGACTCCGAAACCAATCATTGACAGCGATCTGCACTTCCAAATCAGTTGCTTTGCGTAGGGAAATTTTCCCCAATCCTTCAAACTCTCCTACTTTAGCTTCATGTGACTTTCATTTGTTCCCAAGCGGAAAAACTGCCACGATGGAAGCGATTTTCAACCGAGAGGTACAGATAGCTGTCAATGACTGGTTTCAGAGTCAAGGCGAAAGCTTCTACGCGGAGGCCATCAAGAAGCTGCCGTAATGATACCAGAAATGTCAAAAAAAGATGTAAAGACTATGTTAAAAAGTAAGGTAAGGCCTACTCAATGAAAACTTTAAAATTCCTTGTTGATGTGATGTATAGAGGCGATAACCCGAGTCTGAAATAATCGACTCTTCGCGCATCCTGATCCCGGAGGTGGGCACGCGGCGACAGGAGATTGACTCAGTAAAATTAAGTTTACTCACGAATCCCTTGACCGATTTTAAAAAATTTGAGCTTGTTTTAAAGCTTAGAGTATGCCTGGCATGAGATTTTTTATCAATTTGATTCATCTCGATTCACTCTGAAGATACAAGGTAGGGAACCTTACTTTTTGGATGACCCTCGTACGCTGACTTTCTGATTTATATCAAAGTTTTTTCACTATTATATTATCCTTCCATATGTGGCCTCACCTGACCAGGAATATATTTTCATGGCAATTTTTATGACAAAGTAATCTAACAAAGATAGCATAGCTGACCCTCGTCATTTACTGCAATTCTTAAATCCTGACAACTCAAATAGTTTGCATTGTAGAAAATTGATGTTTGAACCAGTCATCATTTTTTGATGATCTTTGAGTATACGCAAAACAAATTTCAACACTTTTAAAATTATAGAGATGGTACACCATCTTGATTTTTACATTCATTTTTGACACTGAAATGAAGACGGTGCTGCAGTCTTAAAATGTTGAGGCTTCTTTGACATAGAATCCATTAACCATTAGAACAATATTATTTTATAAATAACTGATTTACTGAACCTAAAAAATTACTCTTCAGCTGAAATATTTTGTTCTAAAATAAAATGTTTACAAATTTTGACTATTTTGAGAAACTTACCTATAATTTCTCCTATCATGAATATGATACATAGTATACTGGCAATAATGAGCTTCTTCCGTGCTTTTGTGTTCGTTGTAGTCCTTTCCTCATTATGGCAGTAATGTTCATCATCTGCAGAATAAAGCAAATCATTTTCACTAAAACAAGCCTCACGATTATCAAAGCTGAGAAGTAAATTTTCAAGAAATAACCCTGGCATGGTAAAGTTCTCTACAACTTAGTTCAACGTCTAAAAGTAGGAGAAACTGACAAGCTTACAGCTTCTAAAACACATGTAAGCTTACTTTTTAAAAGAAAAATTCTTTCATCCAGATATTTTGGAAGCGTCACATTCAATGCTATCTGAGCTTCAGATTCTTCATGAGATAGTGCTTAGTGAGGGATGAGTTCCTGACGAAAAGGCGAGACCTTCATTATCTTTTCATTTAAGACCAAATTAGATTATCTAATTTCAGATAAATGATTCCCTTGCTGGTTTTTCTTTTCTTTTTTTCTTTCTTTTTTTTCTTTCTTTTTTTCTTTCTTTTCTTTCTTTCTTTTTTTTCTTTCTTTTTTTTCTTTCTTTTTTTCTTTCTTTTTTTCTTTTCTTTTTACTTTCCTTAACGGTAGATCACGTTCTTATAAGTTGCCCACTTTATAAAGATATCCGAAAACGTTTTTTTCCCTACCCCTTACCCTCTCTTAAAAATTTACTTCTGAATACTCATCCTGTGAAACTTTTTGAATTTATGCGCTCCACTAATCTCAAAATTTAACCTTTCCCCTCAACCCTTTTGTATTTTTACTGATATTTCCATGTAAATTTATTATTGTTACTGCCCTCTTTAGAGGTGTAAATGGCCTTAGATGCTAAAGCACCGCTTTAAAATAAAATTATTTTACTACTACTATTTTCTTTTATCTTTTCAACTGTCTGAAACACTCATGAAATGACAAAAAGAAAACCATTTCTTTCTTTGTCTTCTTCCTTCTTTTTTGAGATTGCTGAAGTACTTTTATCGATTTGAGTTGAGTAGTTAGAATTGAAAGATTTATAGCCTGAAATTATCAGTTATCACAATTGCATGCTAATCACACCAACTTTACTACAGTTAGAGTCTGCAAGTCAACAATTCCAAATTTGTATTAATTTCATTGTAACAACATCAATTTTTGTATGTTTTGCCGGATAAAAAATGAAACATGAATGAATTTCAAGCCCAAAAGACTAATGATGAGATAATGGTAAGAATTAAAAATTTCTGAAAGTTATGTGAAGCAACTCCATAAAAGAGAGGCGATGAATTTATTGAGATATGAATAAATGATATACAAGTGGATTTCTTGATTTTTGTGAACCTTTTGGGGTGTCTCCTGCATTTATCAACGAAAGATTGATGAATTTGAGGCTTTTTGGAAAAACCAAGAGTTGAATAATACTAATCAAATAAAACTATGCAAGCAAACTCACTTGCACAAAAATAAATTAAAATTTTTGGCAGATGCAGCTGGGCTCAATCTTTGGTACGGCTGATCAGTCGCAAAAGGATGGGTTGGAATGCGCCTGAAATGCGTCTGCCAAATTTTTAATTTTATAGATGTACAAAAGAGTCTGCTTTATTATTTTATTTTTAATACTGTATTTTCTTGTACAGTTTTTTGCTCCGATCGAATGAGAATATTAAACTTTATAGATATTTTACCATTTCATAAGCAAATTTTTTGCATTCACGACTTGAACTTAAAAACTGGCTCTGATAGATGGGTTTGAGGTATATGTAGCCATATTCTCAAACCTAAAGGCCATAATGACTTTTTTATGTATGTCCTGTTGTCGAGTGCTTCCTAAAACTTAGGATTGCGTCTAATATCAATAGAGCTCAAAACCTAAGGTATTTCAAGGAAAATCTTGAAAACATTATTTTATGCACAGATATCGAGAACAACTTAGACTTACAAATAGTGATAGTGTCTGATGGCAAAGGGCTGGCAGGGCCACCATCAGGCGGCATACTGCCATTTTTGCTAGGAGCACCGGTGAGTGAGGGGCAACAGCCGCTAGCTTTGCCATGGACGCAATATATGACTCGATGAGTGGTGCTGCTTGTTATGCTTCCATTGTCTTTCCCATTGCTCACGTTGTCGCTCTGCAGCGCAGCCCCATACACAATTGTATCCGAACTGAAAAAGACAAAAACACATAATGGTAATCTTCCGTCGCATTTCTAAGGCGCAATGATACAACTATTTAAACTCTCCGGAATGCGTGAGGTATCACGCCGCATTTGAAGGCGTTTTCAAAACAGCCAAGTTCCGATACCCGGATTGTCGTTTTGCAACGTTCCTATTATTATGTTTTATTCCGTACTACTTGTTTATTTTTAATCCTCGTATAAAAACCACCCATTTGCTAAATACAATTCTAGCTGGAGCGCACTTCAGCTATGCATTCAAGACTGCAAAATTGTCAAAGGAAATCGACAAGGCCAGCGTGTATGAAGGCTATTTCAATATATGTAAGTATGATTGGTGGGTCAAGCATGCAACTTATTTTAAAACAAATCTAACTTAGACGAGCAGGGTGTCAACTGAAACAGGCTGGCGAAAAATCAGTATTTTTGCAGTACATTCCTAATAAATTCAGTACCTTCTGGACAGAAAAATTCAGTACTTTTTCAGTGCCTCCAATTGATGAAATTTGAAAAATTTGAATTTCTCGGTCAAATTGCGGAAAAAATCCAGAATATTCGGACCTTCGAGTGGATTTTCCGCACTTTTTCGGTGCTTCTGGACCGCCCTTAAAGAATCAGTACTATATTTACAGACTTTCCGGAAATTCCGGACTTGTAGACACCCGGGAAAAGGAAACCAAACCGTAGGTGCATTTTTTTTGGAGGGGTCTAAAGCTTGGGGATTGTTAGGAAAAAGCAAAATTTGTATGAGGGGAGAAGGGGGGGGGGCTTTAATCGCCCATTTCTGATTAACAAGATGATAATTAAAATTTTAATTGTGCTCGTTGAGTTTTGATTATGATGAGGAAAAAATTTAGTCTTGTGCTGTTTTGATTCTCAGCTATCTAGAGATTCATTATGAGGGGCACGTAAGACCGAGGTAAAATCCGATATAAACGCTTTCCCAAGATTAAGATAATGAGGGGAGAAAGACTGTTTTCATCTTTGTGTTGCTTCTGCAGTGGAAAAAATTGACTTACATTAAAACAGCGACCGACTGTTTTCACTTAAATATTTTTATTTTTGATCCTCCTAATATTGAGTTTTTCCGAGAAAATACAACTGTCGGTAAAAAATTAGGCTTAATTTTCCAAAATACTAAACCCCGACTGATAACATTTTGAAGTCTGCAAACTCAGCAGTAAGTACATGCGATCCAGTGGCGTGGCGTGGCGTGCTTTGCGACATATCGATTGATCTGCCATTTAAACCTATGGAAAAGGATCGATAAACAATATCGATACATCGATAATAATCGATTCTTTACCACAGCTTCAAATGGGAAAATATCGAAATTCGATAGTTGACGCCTCGCCACTGAACGTTATACGCTGGCGGTGAGAATTTCAATCTGCTATGTCTGTGACCTCATACACTTAATCACGTCTCGAATGCAAATATAAATGGGATTTACGGTAAACACGGAAATTCACGCGACAAATTAAGGACAAATGTCAAAGTGGTTAGCACGCTGTTACAAATTAAAGCGCGATTTCAATTAAACTATCGAGATTTGCTCTAGTGCCTTTCATTAGTTTCCCTGTTTCAGAATTGTATATATTTGAGAAGAAAGCTGATAAATCATGAGTTCCTGGAAAAGTCTGAAAATGTAACTTCAATTGAGGGGCTTGGAGGACCAGGCTTATGAGTGCAGTTTTTGAAAAAACTGAGATATTAACAATTTCAAGTAAAATTATTAGTCTTAATGCAAATTCTGTGAAAAATTCGCTCCCAAATTCCAATTTTTAAACATCATAAAGCCAGTTTGAACTTTTTTTCCGCCATAAGGATCCGTATAATTTCGAAACTTCAAACACGTATTTCTCGAAATAGCAAATACTGCAATTATGCGCCTTGTCCTCCGAGCCCCTCAATTCACCTTACTGTTTTATAGCCCCAATGCTACCTACAATTAAAAATCTGGATCGATCTTCCACGTGTGCATCCAAAAATAACGTCATAACCAACGTTAATCCTTATAACGTTATCTTTCAATAACGTTAGACGCTTTTCCCGAGTTTTGGACCTCCTTTTCAGGCCTCATACCATTTTTCCAAGAGTAAAGACTCATTAAAAACAATTACTTATTTTCCCGACTAGAGATCAGCGCGTGTTAATTTGTAGCAGCCTAATTTTCCAGTAGCTTAGTATCTCCTACCACTTTGGAAGAAAAGTTGTCTTTAGACAGATTGTTCAAACAGGCATTCGTTATTGAAAAAGTCTGGCTACATTACTGTCGTAATCAGATATAGTGTGGACTATAGGAGTTTTGCCGTTAATACATCACAAAATAAAAATTGATACTTTCTCCAACGCGCGTTGCTATGCGCAAAGCAAAGAGAAATAATTAAAAAACTTCCTTGCATCACAAAAATTTGCATGCAGTATTATGTAACTGGCTGCAACAAGGCATATATATCAGCATATTTGATCTTCGAACGCCTGGCAATACTGACAATTCTGCTTAAGAGTTAGGAGTAAAATAGGAGGATGAGAAGTGTAAAGTTCAACGATTACAAGGTAGATAGACATAGAGATTCATGAAGCATCAAATAGACGGCGGATTAAGACAATCATTGCAAACCATACGAGGAGCAAAACTTTACAATGATAGTTATGTAAAAGTTTCCGCAGATATAGATGTTGACGGAAACAGAAAATTGTGTATCTGTTAGATTGGGTATTATAGTGATGTGTAACTTCAGACACACTATTGAGCCCTAAGTCAAAATTATCATATGAGTATCAAAATAAGTGTGTTAGTTAGGGATCGCGTATCCCAGTATCCCATGCTGTGAGCCAACCTCCAAACCTAGTCGAACTTTCCATGCATAGATAGAGAGAATACATTGCCAGGGTTGCCATTGCTACAACTTTGGAATCAACCCACAGAGAGCAACCCTGTTAATGTACATACCGAGTTGTCCCTCACCCCCTGTATAGTAGAATATACATACATATGTAAGTTCCTATTTGTCTTCCCTCTTTTATTTGTCGCTAATCATGTATTTAAGAGACATGCGCATGAAGAGTTTGATTGGATACAGAGATGAAGTCTCTGCATATGGTACTGCCGTGATAGCGAAGAGAGTAGTAAGTGTAAAATTTTCGAAATCGAATTTTCTTCAAAATTCGTCTAAACTCTTTTAGATGAAAGCACTGAAACTGCTAAAACACCAAATTCGTCTTAATTGTATCAAAACGAGACAAATGAGGAAGCCGTACGTGCGCAAAAAATGACGTAGTTTCAGGCAAGACAGCAGCAAGTAACAATATTCCTCCAGGGAGCCAATGAAAACAGTGCTTTCAAGTAAAGTGCCGCCGCTCATTTGTGAATTTCTAACCTGAAAATGCATTTGTTGTGTGTCCAAAACGCAACCACGAAAGCATTGTAGAAGATAGAACTTACGCCTGTCTTGCCTAACAATAACCTAGTATGAAAATGAAAATTACCTTTTTTATGTAATTGAAATAAAGTCGATTTTTAACCATCCAAACGATTTTTAGGAATCTTTCGGACGATTAGTGGCAATTTGACAAAAAACGGAGGCTTGCAATAAAATTTTCCGGTCAGAAGCTTCTGAGCCCGTTTTCTCAAAGCTTTATTTTTGCACTTACTGCTCTCTCCACTGACACGGCAGGGTACGTGATCCCTTTCATAACAGTCTTGACCCTGGGATATTTTTTTGAACTTAGAATTTCCTTTCAGAGAAACCCAGTGGCACCAACGTGTCCCTCACGAATTTTTTCCCGAGAAAAAATTTTTGAATTGCAAATCCCTAACTCTGAGGCACACAGGAGCTCCAATCGTGATCGGTTGAATCGAAGTATATTTTTTATAAAACTTCTGTCTTCGCCACTGTGCGCGAGAGGGAGATCCGGATGACATCAACATTGAACTTGACACTTTCATTTCGGACCGTGAACTACTGGGAAATGCGCTCGGTCGGTGCATCAGATGGGGAGAGAGTGCGAGGCAGTTACGTTGAAAGATAACTGCTCTCTAGGTCACGGGCTCCCAGTTCGACTCCCAGCCAGTGCGTCACTTTATTGTGTCACCGAGAGAGGTTGAGAGCAATCGCCTCAGATACGCTATGTTTGCTTTGTATAAATACATGGCCCCACAATCGCTGCTCTCTGGGTCACGGACTCGGGGTTCGAATCCCGCCGGTGCTCACCTGTCTGATAAAGAGGTATGAATGAACGTAACGTAATCTTACGATGAATGCAGTTACAACTGGAGTGGATAAGCAAACACATCGACCGGAAATACTAATGTAGGTCTAGATAACGCCTTTAAATGCAGAAAAAATCTCACTACGGACGGTGGATGACAGGTTCTTCAAATTTTAACGGGTTTTTTATTCTCGTTTTATTTTTAAGTTTAGACACGCGTTTGATCATACAGAAGGATTATTTCTAACGAAGGGGGGATTAATTCACTACTTTCACTACTCAGGGGTTGGTAGCCTTCCTTGAGGGTAAAAATGATGCACCTCCACCCCCACCCCCTCGGTGAATAGTGGGAGCTGGTAGTCAGGAGAGTCCCTAAGGAAACTTTGAAATTTTATATTTCTTGAAACCCATTTTTGATGACTTTCTCTTTCGTATTTCTCACGTTTTTGTCTCTCTCTATATTTTATTCTTTGTTTTTGGAGTTTTTTTTTAAGTTTTGGGGGAGGGGGTCTGACTTGAAAATATTTTTTATTTCAATCTAAAGCTACATCTACCGCGAGGGAAAATGCCTTTTTGGCTTTTAAAACAGTTTTTCCAGGCTTTTCTTCCTCTTTTTACCGTTCTCAACTGTGGGAAGCAACGGAATAAGCCTGTAGAATTCAATGGACCATTTTCCCTTATTTCATAACACCGAAAAAAAGCACTCTGAAAGTGACGAAAATTTGAAGGTCAAAACTGAAACTTAAGAGTTAACTTGCTTGTATAAAATTGTTGCGCATTTTGGACGATTGTTGACCAAGGAAAATAATGACAGTTGTTGACAAAAGATCAGGGGGCGGTTGTACTTTACATATTGCTGTTTGTTTTGAGATAAAGTTATTCAAGCAGACTTAGATCAGTTTGATCCTTCAGTCTGCATTATCAAAGGGCGAAATATACTCGAATCGCTCCATCACCTACGCGTTTGATGAGGTAATTATGACTTCCCCCGATCGCAGCGGGCGCAACGCGACGTGATGCACCGTGGGTCATACAGCTGATTGGAAATTTGAATGAAAAAAAAGAAACAGAGATGGAAGATAAATAAAAGACAAAACGATTTCGACAGCTATTGGCTGCTTGCTCTTGTAAATTATTCCTCCACCTTACGGTTGAACGTTAATTTTTATCAATTCCAAGTAAAAGATTATACTAAGAGATACTTGTGATACACCTCAAAATGATAACTTGATGAACATTATTTGGAACGAAATGTTGAAACATTGGATTTGACGAAGCACCGGAGTCTTCATCTATTCGTGAGAGAGGGGACAGAAATACTTTACGCTTGTTTCCATCGAGAGACGGGTAAAAAAAATACAGAGAATTTAGTAATATTGAGAAAAAAAACTAAATACAGAGAATTTAGTGATATTGACAAAAAATTACTAATGGATTTGCACTTTCGTGCAAAGTTCCTCATTAATAGATTTTTCATCCATTGTTTCCCCGGGAAAAGTTGAAAAAAAGAAAAGGAAAGAGAGGAATTACGAAAATTGCACATTTAGTTTCCTGTGATTATTCTCAAGAATTTTGAGCATTCAGAGAAATAAAATAGGAAAAGTAGATACAAAGGATTAACGTTATCCTAAAAATCGACATTAAAATGAAAGTTTGAAAAATGTCCGCCCTCGTGCAAAGCAAACTTCAATTGGACGTATTTATGCTAAAAGGCACTCTGTTGCACGCAATCCCTATGCATATAGTTCCTTTAAGCATAAATACATCCAATTCCAAAAGTTGATGCTTATAGGGCCACCTAAAATGAATAAAATACATTTTAGCGATTGACCTAATTCAAACACAAGTTAATGATCAACTTCTGACATCGTTATTACCGCGAAAGACCAAGGGCCGAATTTTGTTGGTCCTCCCACCGTGCTTAAATATACTTACAGCGGGTCTTAACTGCACGTTAGTCCGGCTTAACGCTTCTGATTGGCCGGTGGTGCGGTTTGGACTCATCGATGGATGATGCACTCCGTGTGAAAGAGCCGACAAAATTCGGCCCCCACTGTTAAAAAAACCTCTTGGACCAATGCCGCATTGCATTGACTTAAGAGTGCAGTTTCTTGTCGCCGGATTTAAGAGTCTTGAACTCTTGTTTCAAGCGGATTTTGCATTGATTCAAGTGGATTTTGCATTGAAACAAGAGTCCGGACTCCTAAATCCGGCGACAAGAAACTGCACTCTTGAACCAAGAGGTTTTTTTTACCAGTGCAGTGTGCGACTGACTCGACTCTGAAAAAAAATTGAACCAATTTCAGCGAAACCGATCCGGGTGCTATTGTTCACGGTCAGGTAGTTGGTTTTCAGCTTGGAAATTCATCTAATTTCCAATTAATTCATTGTGAACGCGTGATAAAACCCCGCGGCGAGTGATAAAATTACCACAATCCATCGCCCTCCAGACCAAAGGGCGTAACTGCATTATGCGATGGACCCTGTCGTCCATAGAACTCAACGCTGTCCCGAGCTCATCTCTAAATACAGTTACGTCTTTTTGTCAACCTAGCGACGAATTCCATTTAATATCAGCATTAGTTTCAGTTACTCATTCCGTACCTGCATCGATGATTTTCAAAAGTGCAGAGGAGATACATTAGGCCGGTCGATCAAGAATTTTGGGTTGTTGAGAGCTATATAAAGAACAATTCCCGAAAATAAATGAATTTTACTAATTTGCGTTGAAAACACTTTTTCTAAAATCAAGGACCGTCACATTAGTGATGTCACGTTCTTTTCGGATTTTTGACCAGCTGCTCCCATTTCAAGTACATATCAAGCAGCGTTGAAACCCGCCCCCTTAAAAATTACGTCAGGGTTACGGCAATAATTAAGCCTCCCCCTCCTACATATTACTCGGGAATTCGCGCTTAGAATGTTCTATAGAGGAGGTTTTTCACTCCTATATAAGACTGACGTCATATTCAACTATGCCACGCCTCTTCTTCACGTCATCTACGGTTTACCCTAGACCAGCGAATTAAGAAAAAATAGAAATTTCGTTGGACTAGGTTTGAGAGGAAAGAAATCTTTAAAAAAAGGAAATGAAAATAAAAAAATAAATAGATGAAAAAGAAAGAAAAAAGAGTAGCTACAGGAGAAAAACACAAGCAAGAAAAAACTTACTTTTTAAGGCTGGTTTTTTCGTCGACGCTTCGTAAAACCAAATAGCCTTTTTCCGATTCTTTCTTGGGGAACATGACTCTTTTAGAAATTGACTACACTATTTCCGACACGAAATGTGACGATTTCAAGATCGCCGTGAGAAGGGACCGAACAGAGTTTTCAAGAGTCAACTATCACAACGTCCGGAAACTGCACAATACAGGGACATCGATTTCGAAAATGCCACAAAAAACCATGACGGCTATGCGCAATTTACGATCAAGTAAATGCTTTAAACTTGGTTTGGAGTAGAAGTCAGCTTTCTACAATGATCAATTTTTCACTGTGACAATCATCCCTCTTTTTAAAAATTGGTAGAAGATTTGAAGGTTAGGATGATAGATAGCACATGAAGCAAAACTTGCCCATCACCCACGCAAAGAAACGGAAGCATACCCATGCGCAGAACACGCGCAAGCACACACAATATTTAAAAGATAATTAATTTAAAGCTGAAGGGTTTACTTGAGCTCAAGAAGATAAAAGATCGAGTTAAATCCTCACTTGTTCAGGTTTGATCTGAGGATAAATCACTTGCCAAAAAAAATCGCACTTATTGTGGTATACACTTATTAAGCCTCAGCACACATGTCGCCTGAATTTTGTGAATGCAAGGGCCATGATTAAAAGGATTAATGATAATCTCATATACGAGGGTCATCCAAAAAGTAAGGTTCCCTACCTTGTATCTTCCGAACGAAAAGAGATAAATCAAATCGGTAAAAACGTACATATTAGGCATACTCTAAGCTTTAAAACAAGGTCAAGTTTTTGAAAATCGGTTGAGCACTTCGCGAGAAAACTCAATTTTACTGAGACGACCTCCCGTCGTCGCGTGCCCACCTCCGAGGTCAGGATGCGCGGAGAGTCCCTTACTTCAGACTCGACTTATCGCCTCTAAACATCAAATCGAAAAGGAATTTAAAAGATTTTATCAAGTAGGCCTTACTTTACTTTTTGAGATAGTCTCCGCATCTTTTTTGACATTTCTGGTGTCATTACAGCAGCTCTTTCATGCCTTCCGCGTAAAAGGTCTCGTCTTGGCTCCAAAACCAGTCATTGCCAGCGATCTGCACCTCTAAATCGGTTGGAAATCGCTTTCCACAGTGGGAGCTTTTCATCTCAGGAATAGACGAAAGTCAGCCGAGGCTAAATTAAGAAAGTACAGAGGATTGGGGAAAAATTTTACCACGGTAAGCAACTGATTTGGAAGTGCAGATCGCTGGCAATGACTGGTTTTGGAGCCAAGACAAGATCTTTTACGCGGAAGGCATGAAAGAGCTGCTGTAATGATACCAGAAATGTCAAAAAAGATGCGGAGACTATCTCAAAAAGTAAAGTAAGGCCTACTTGATAAAATCTTTTAAATTCCTTTTCGATTTGATGTTTAGAGGCGATAAGTCGAGTCTGAAGTAAGGGACTCTCCGCGCATCCTGACCTCGGAGGTGGGCACGCGACGACGGGAGGTCTCAGTAAAATTGAGTTTTCTCGCGAAGTGCTCAACCGATTTTCAAAAACTTGACCTTGTTTTAAAGCTTAGAGTATGCCTAATATGTACGTTTTTACCGATTTGATTTATCTCTTTTCGTTCGGAAGGTACAAGGTAGGGAACCTTACTTTTTGGATGACCCTCGTATTTATCACGTTGTGAAAAAGCCATTTCTGGTAGATGCAATGGCTTCTTGCAGATATGATATTCATGATATCTCTCGATTATTAATAATAGACTGACATTGAGTCTATTGCCTTTCGTTCAATGAAATTATTCATAGAAATGTTTTAAAGCACCCACATATATACATGATTAATTAATGGAACAGAAGCAAGAGCTGATATTTTGTACGTAAATGGTAGGTGTCAAATATAGTGGCGAATTGGCTTGAGATAATAGGGCAACATAGATGGGCTCTATGCTTCAGTTCATTGAGGAATTATTGGAATTACCCGTATGCTAACTTTGGAGGTAGGTCAAATTCATGACTAATCACCATTAAAATTAGGCTAGCCAAAGTGCAAATACGTAAACACTGATGAATATGGATAAACTTAATTTTGATGGGAATTTGTCACATCCAAAAAAGAAGCATTAAAACACATTTGCAAACCAAGATTAGTGAATAAATAGAGTCATGTTGGACAAATATATAAACACAGAAAAATAGATTTGACGAGATATCGTGGAATAGTATCTAGGCAATACAATGTTAGATTAAACGATCATAATGTTTCTTCTTGAAACGACGAGTTCACACACCATATCTCATACAATGTATACGACTTCAATTTATTTTATTGAAAGAGTTTTGCTTGCGTTGATATGGTAAGCTAGACCCGAAATCCTAGGGTGTGGCAGCCAAAAAATTGGGAAGGTAAAAAAAATAAAATCAGTTTTTACATTATGCTTTTTATGATGAGGTGGTGGTTCTGGCCATTTTATGGCTCACCCCCTCCACATCGCTTCCCTGAATGGGACAAATTTTGGAACAAGTTTACAACACATTAATGTAAATGAACATACACAAACATCTGAGACTCATAAATTTGCCTATGCACGCATGATAACTGGGAAAGTCCTGAGCTGTCATGTGTCAGAGTGAGGAGGTGATTTTAGATAATTGGACCGCAACATTGGGGAAAAAATTAACATTTTCTAACCGGTCACAGACAGATCGAAGGCACGATTCTTCGAGTTTTACAACTGCAATTTACTTAAAGTTTGCAAACATGGTGCTTTTTATGATACTGTATTGAGGAAGAGAGGCTGCCGAAAAGGATGCCTGGTTAGGTTCCTCCTGGGAGGAGACGAAGGGGACGCCTGGTGAGAGAGCAGGGGTAGGGGGTTTTGAACTTTTGAGTGAAATGAGGGAGTGCCAACTCCTTGATTCCTTGAAGGGTTGTATAGGACCGGAGTCCTGGCGGTTAGACGTCGCTGAGCGTCAGAGAACGCTGTATAAAAGCGACTATAATGTATGTATGTATTAGAGATCTCATTAAATATCCTTAATCACAATGTTAGGGTTTCCTAGGGAGAGGAAACTGTTTAAGGAACGAATATGAATGTGGCATTAAGTGATTGGCATATAACCTCACAATTTACATCGGGTATAGCGTTTGATAGATCTTCAGGCGTCCGGGAAATACTGTACGGCACATTTGACTTAATTAGGAGATCGTATTGTTTCCGATTGTTTTTAGCCAAGAATTTGGTTTAAAAACTTTGAGATCAGGCTACCGTCACCAGAAATATTTCAAGTGCATGACATGCATACGACTAATAAAAAAAAAGTCAGTGAACTCACTCATGTTGGAGGTCGTTCGCTATGTGAATTGTCGCAGACATATCCAAACCACACGTGGCACTAAAGTGCATAGAAAATTATAGCTGGAATGTTTCCATGGACTTGTTTAGGAAATGTGATCTTAATTTGTGCTCCATGCACGTGCCTTGGAGAAACAGGACATTCAGATCCACAAGTGCCATTTAGGGTCATGTCACACACCGGATATCAGCAGCGAATGGATGTAGTGAGCTGGATTTAAAATCGAAAGTCTATCCACTTTATCAAAGGCTACTTCGGCATAATACGCGCGCAAAATTTGAAATCAATCTAACTGACTGAAATTTTACCGAATTTCAGAGTTCAAACGGATCAGAAAAACACACGAAAATGATTAAAATACCGCCGGCTTGACGCATATGATATATACTACTAAGACAGCCGGTCAGAAAACGAAAATAAATCCATTCATTAAAAGTTTTTAATTAAATTTTTGAAATAAGAAAACTTTGAGATTTCGCTTGTTAGTGTTCAGAATTATTTGCACAGTCCGAAAAAGTAGCTAATTCTTCGTCAAAATTCAAACCGCGTCTCACCAACAATTGGAACTGTAATTACACGATTGTTTATAAAAGTATAACTCTAAATTAAGACTCAATAGTTATCAATGACTCAAAGAGTTGCCGGAAAAATCTCACTGTTTGTTTTCTAAGTCTTTGACGCCGAACACATGCAATATTGGTCGCGGGTCAACTATCCCAAATATCCTGGCGGAACTGCACAAAATCATAAATCTCAACGCACAGAGATAAGCGACCAGAACGCAAAACGAGATAAACAACAAAATTAACACGATTATTACACCGAAAAGCCGGAAATATGTTGCCGCAGACCAGAACGAAGAGGATGGCGTATCACACATGAGAGTGTGGTAAACCGCCCGTGTGTTAATTGATAACGCCAAAAAACACGTGTCGTGTGATTCACATCAAAGCCGAACTTTCGAGAGTGGTCCCAAACAGTCGACGTGACTCTGGGTGGTGTAAATCACAAGAAAAGACACAAATTATGGACCGCAAAAATTTTTCACGATAAAAATAGCACTATAACTGACGCAAATGTTTTTTCAAGTCATTATCGAGTTTAAAAAACGCGTAAACGCGTAATCCGCCATTAATTTGAATTTTGGAGGTGAATTTTAGGGATGTTAAGTGGATTAGGAAACGCGAACTAGGCGCAGAATATGTTTCAAGAAAACTATCCAAGAAAAAAAGATACGCGATAAGGCACATTCACTACAGCAAATCCAAATTTTTTGAGTTGATATCGCGATTAAAAACCCAGTAAGGTGTGAAGAAGAGGACTGAATCAGGAATCTGGAAGCTGCATTTTGAGGACCACTTGGCTAAAAGCGCGTTCTTTTTCACTGAATGTCAGCAAAAGTCTCCGTTTGGATAAACGTGGTTCAGAAGGCTCGTGTGATTAGATTTTCGCGAACATTAAAAGCTCCGATTTGCAACACAACCACTTAAAATGGCAGGGCCATTAAAAAACAATAATTAAAAGTTCGAAATATTTGTACAGCTGGTTGCGTTGACGCGAAACTCCGGATAAAAAAATTGTGTCCTGCTATGGGTAGATGGATATCTAGAAATTTCTGAGGTTAAACTGTATACTATCTACAAAAGTTAATTACACTACGAGTTTTGAGGGAACTCCGAAAGCGCCATTCTGAGGAACAACTATTTAGATTGGTGGGGAAAACCAGCCCGCGAATTTTTATGGATACTCGCTCGTACGTAAAAGTTCGTTTTCCACAAGCTTTAAAAAGTGACACATTGGCGAACGATCATGAATACATAGGAATTTACCGTCGCAAAAATTTAATTGAATTAACTCCATTCAAAAATTAATTAGAAAAATAATTGTCTCCATAAAAATCGCTGATGTCTTTGGGACCTAAAAAGCGACACTCAAGAGCACAA